TAGGCTGTGAGTTATGTATATGCCATTAAGGAATTTTACAACTTCAAGGAGCTTTAGTGCTTTGGCATAGAATTGCATAGAAATCAGTACCACAAGTACTTTTGATACATGGCTGTATGTTTCCTTTCCTATGCCCTGACATTGTTTATGGCCGGTTCAATATGTTACTAGCTGATGGTCCATTAGCTTCAGTAACGGTGGAAAAGTAGTATTGTAGAACCAGCAGGGGTCATTTAAGTCACTGAACCCAGCGTCCTGGTCAGTGGAGGAATTCAAATTAAAGTACCCCCCAGAGATGAAAGTCTAGCTTTGAACACATTTTTGCACATCCCGTGAATAGAGCTCACCACTCCCTGGATCATTTCTCCCACTGCCAAAATTCTTTAATTTCTTAAAAAATTAGGAATAATTTTTTCCCTAGCATTCTGCAAGAATGATCTTAGATATGACACATTTGATACCCTTAAAAAAAAAAAAAAAACTGCATTATTATTTCAGTCTCCTTGAGTTTCTTTTTTTAGAACTAAAGTGAAATCTAAGTTTTAAAAATTAAGAGATAAGATATGTTTTAAAAACCTGCAAAGGGTCATAGGCTCAATCTTTCACAGATTGCAATTTTTCTCCTTCTATTCCCAGGTATGAAATTTATTACAATGCCACAATTAAAATCTGGCAGGCCTATCACAGACCAGAAAAAAATGCTGTCAGTGCCAACCCTTGGCTCACTGATTGCCATTTGGCCATTCTCAGTAATGAGCAATCAGTGACTCTTTTTTTTAATTATTATTTTTCCCATATTATTTATGTCTTGCTTGTTACTTGTTAGGAAAATCCCAAAGCAGGGATATAGCTCATTTTAAAAAGAGTTGCAATTAAAAATAAATAATTCAGTTTAAAATGGCCCCCCGCTCCAAAATTGCCTAGAACCATAAAGTCCTGTGATTCAAGATCAAGCACTCTGTGACTCAGGGCCAAATCCAACTCAAAGCTGACCTTCACATCTGTATATGTCTAATATTTCCTGCATTCATTTTTTCCCTCCTTGATTATTGCTGAAGATACCAACAGGACAAGCAAAAGTAGACTTTCAGAGATCCAACAACAGCAGATAGTATCCCAAACTGGTCCATTGGCCACAACACATTGAACTTACCTATGTTTCCAACGGCTCTTCTTTTTTAGAAGGATGAAACCTCCAAGGCTTCAAAACAGCTGCTGTAGTAGAATGGCTAAGACAGTCTGTTATAAACCTACTTGTTTCGGTATACCACCACCCCTTATCTGGTTGCAGATGTTCAGAGGTTCTGCAAAACCCTGGGGACACTCTTCTAGAACAGTACACTGAATGCAAGCCAGTTTCCTCTTCTTCCCCCCACCACTCCATCCCTCCTCATACAATTTCCATTGTTCTTTTCCTGATAATGTTCTGTGGGGCCCAAAGTTATCAAGCCTATTTGTCCATGTTGAAATGGCATTTGGGAGAGGGATTAAGTCCATGTATGCCTGCTAACTTCAGCACTTAATCAAATACACACATACCGAATGAAGAATATCATGCAGAATGAAAGTATTTCACACAGAAGGCCAAGGCATGTTCTCATCCAAGAAAGGAGGACATACAATAATCATTTTAATTCCCGGAAGACAAATGTTGATTGAATGCTAGGAAAAAGTTCTGAACAGTAAGAGCAATTTGACAGCTGAACCAATGACCCAGAGAGCTGGTGAGTTGCCCTTCACTACATCTATCATGCGGAGGCTGGACAGCCATCTGTCAGGGATGCTTCAAAGGGGATTCCAGCACTGGTCCGGGCATTGGACTTAATGCATTAATAGCCCCTTCCATGAATCTATGGTTGCCTTGGGGCTCATCCAAGCATCTTTATGCATCTCTCAGCTACGTTTTAGCTTCAGCTTTGCCAGCACAAGGGCACCAACTTTGTTCTTACAGAAAGTGATGATAAATGTCTGTACCTTTTCCTATTTTTAAATGCTCCCTCCCTCTCTCTTTCTTCCTTTCCCACTGATAGTGGTATTTGGCCAGTTTGCCTTCTTCCAGACAGCTCTCCATGATATCATTGAAGTCCATGATGGTCCAAATCAACATTCTCGCCTGCTCAGTTCTCTCTCTGGTTCTCATACAGGTAAGGAGAGGTTCTGCCTCTTTCTCTCAGTCTATGCATTGGCTTTGTTCAGTCTATGCATTCCCTTCCATCCATTCCTGCTTTGAGGTGAGTTCTGTGATGGCTATTTGAAGATAGCATGTTCTTTGCGGTTACCTAAAAAGTTTAGCTGTACTCCATGGCAACTTCTAGATCAACATGCAAGGGAAAGGTGTCAGGGCTAGCCCAAGGAACTCCAAGAGACCATGTAAATTCAGCCCAGCAATGTTTATTAGCTACAACCTCTAGCAAGAATCTTCCCAGACTGAAACCCCTCTCCCAAGCCAGCCACCCACAACACCGTGAATTCCTCAGGGAGGTGCCAGTCTCATCCTCTTATCTCTTCCTCGCGCCTCAGGAGATGAAAGAAAATGTTTTTCTCCCTGAGTCTGGCCTTCATAACTCCATTCCATCACAAAAGGAGAATTATTCCACCATTGTTCACGTAATTTTCTGGGGAGATATTATCTATACAGAAATGAAACTGAGTAGAGGCAGATCTAATTTACACTTCGACAACTATAATTCGTACCCGATCACCACTTTGTGGAGCTACTATAATATGCTGTACATGGGGCTGCCGATGGATACATCCTGGAAGCTACAGCTGATCCAGAATGCAGTGAGATTGGTTTGCAGGTCAACTTGCAGGGTAGAATAACACTTTGTAGAAGGTTCTGCACTAGCTGTCAGGAGGATTCCAGCTCCAATTCAAGTGCTGGTTGTCAGCTGTACGTCCCTATCTAGCATAGCACCAAGTTACCCCAGGCATGGCTTTCCAAGATTGATTGTGCCTTTCATGAAAAAGGACCTGCTCAAGTCCTTCCTCTACAGCTGGGTAGAGAGACATGGAGGAGAAGACAGGTCTTTTCAGAACTCTTTAACCTGGAGGTTCATTTGACTTCCTCCCTCCTAATATTCCATGAGATGCTTAGAACAACTGTTTTCCCATGCTTTCAAAAATGCCCCAAGACCCTCCAAAGGGGAAGCTCCCTAAGTGGGTAAAAAGGTCCAGGAGCAGGTCTAATGGATGTACTTCAAACGAGGGAGCAAGTGCAGTTGATTTCCAGTGTCTCTGTAATTAAGATAGATAGATAGATAGATAGATAGATAGATAGATAGATAGATAGATAGATAG